AGCTAATCGTGTAGTCATAGTCCTTGACCAGCTCCAACCACCTACGTTGTCGCATGTTCAGCTCCTTCTGAGTGAAAATGTACTTTAGGCTCTTGTGGTCAGTAAAAATCTTACACTTGCCTCCGTGGAGGTAGTGCCGCCAAATCTTCAAGGCGTGAACGACTGTAGCTAACTCAAGATCATGAGTGGGGTAGTTCTGCTCGTGAGGCTTCAGCTGCCTCGAACCATAGGCCACGACTCTCCCTTGCTGCATGAGAACACAACCCAAGCCCATCTTCGAAGCATCACTATAGATCGTGAAATCAAAAGTAGGGTCAGGTATGGACAAGACGGGCGCGGTACTGAGTCTCCTCTTCAACTCCTGGAAATTCTCCTCGTACTTCTGACTCCAATCAAACCTCACGGCCTTCTTCGTAAGGTTGGTTAGTGGTTGGGCTATCTTCGAGTAGTCCTCGATAAACCTCCGGTAGTATCCTGCTAACCCCAGGAAGCTACGAACATCAGCGGCACTTCTTGGTGTATCCCACTTGCTCACCGCCTCGATCTTTCCGAGATCCACCTCAATGCCTCTCGCCGTCACAATGTGGCTAAGGAACGCCACACGGTCTAACCAGAACTCGCACTTCAAAAATTTGGCATACAACTTCTCGCGGCGAAGGGTTTCTAGCACAATCCTTAGATGCTCATTTTGCTGGTCGATATCTCGGGAAGAGACCAGGATGTCGTCGATAAACACAATGACAAACTGGTCTAAGAAAGGATGAAAGACCCTGTTCATAAGGTCCATAAAAACTGTTGGGGCATTGCTGAGTTTGAACGGCATGACTATGAAATCATAGTGGCCATAGCGGGTACGGAAAGCAGTCTTAGAAATATCCGACTCCCGGATCTTTAGCTGATGATAGCTAGACCGCAAATCGATCTTAGAGAAGACGCTGGCTCGTCTCAGTTGGTCGAAGAGATCCTTAATACGAGGAAGGGGGTACTTGTTCTTGACTATAAGGGTATTCAGCTCCCGATAGTCAATACACATATGCATGGATCTGTCTTTCTTCTTCACGAATAGGACGGGCGCACCCCACGGCGAAACACTCGGTCGAATAAAACCGAGCCTGAGCAATTCCTGGATCTGAGCCTTGAGCTCTAAAAGCTCCTTCGGCGCCATACGGTAAGGGGCCTTAGACACGGGGCCAGCTCCCGGTACTAAGTCAATGGTGAACTCCACCTGGCGGTCAGGTGGTCCTCCGGGCAGCTCATCAGGAAAAACATCAAGGAATTCGCAAACAGTAGAACTCGCTCTGGAGTCCGCTCGGAATCATCCTCGGACACCATAGAAACTAAATAGCCTTGACATCTACCCTTGGAAAGTCTCTTCCTAGCTTGCATAGAAGAAATGACTCGAGGCACAGTCCTCGACTTCACCCCAAAGAATACAATCGGCTGATCAGAAGCGGGAAAGAGAGTGACTTCGCGCTCCTGGCACTGGATGTCGGCTCGATAGCGGGAGAGACAGTCCATGCCCAAGATCACATTGAAGTCCCGCATTTTAATCACATAAACACTGGCCTCGAACATATGCCCACCAATACTGACTGGAAGACTGAGAATCATAGAATCAGAAATAATAATCTTCCCCGAGACTAGACTAACCTCGAGAGGGTCACAAGGGCACACATTACTAATGGACAAAGCCTCCAAGCAACGAGTAGAAATAAAAGAATGAGTGGCTCCGGTATCACATAAAGCATATACAGGCACGTTGGATATCGAAAGCATTCTGGACTGACGCGGGCCTGACGCCCTCTGCTGGTAAGGTGGGGGTTGTCTGGGCTGCTGCTGATGAGGTGGAGGTGGAAGCTGCTTCTGCTGCTGCTGAGGATAGGGTGGCTGCTACTGAGGGTAGGGTGGTTGCTGCTGTGGCCTCTTCGGCTCGGGGCACACATGCGAAAAATGTCCGACATGGTGGTAATTGAAACAGTGTCTGTTGGCTGCTCGGCACTCTCCTAACCCATGGAACTTGCCGCAGCTAGGGCACCTCGGAAGTTGTCCCTGAGGGGGTTGGTCGTCACGCCTCCCGAAGTTCCCTTCCTTTACTTTCTTCTTGTTTTGATGGTAGTCGACCTTCTTCTTGCCCGAATTAGAACCGGGCGCAACAGCTGAGATAGGCTAAATCATAGGGGTCTGCTGGTGGAATGGGGTAGTCGCCCTCTGGGCATTCTGAAAATCTCTAACTCGGTGGCTCGGCGGACCATCTCGGAGTAAGGCAGAGCTCCGTGGCCATTCAAGGTGTAGCAAAGGTCAGGGCGAAGACCATCACGGAAACGAAAGGCCTTCTTCTGGTCGGTATCTACGAGCAACGGGGAAAACGCGCACATACGGGTGAAGTCGCGCTCGTAGACATCCACGGGACGGGGTCCCTGCTTAAGCTCCCAGAAGTCCTTCATCATATGGGCACAGTGAGCCTCTGGATAATACTTGTCCTTGACTATCGTAATCATCTGGTCCCAAGTTAAGGCATCCCTCTCAGCACGAGGACGAAGCCTCCAATAGTCATTCCACCAAGTTTTAGCATCTCTAGTCATCACGAACGAGGCACAATGGATTTTCACCTCATTGGTGGTGAACAATAGATCGAAGATACTCTCCAGCTGCTGAAGCCATTCAGCCACAGCTTCGGGGCCCTCAACTCAGGTGAATGCCGGAGGATACGTGTTACGGAAATCGATCACAGCTTGGGTAATGGGATCTCTACCCAGAGCATGCTGATGAGGAGGACGAGGAGGCGGAGGAGGTGGTTTTTGCTGATTGCTATTGTGGGTTTGACGAGCCATTTCACTACATTGAAAAATGAGCCGCAGTGTTTGGCACAGTTACGAAAGATCTAGCATTAATCATAAACACTAGAGTTCGTGTTTATTCAAAGGTGGATAAAACCTAACCCCAAATATAAGAATTACATTGCTCAAGTATATACCAATACTTATTTAAACCATACCTTAAGCAATGCGGCATGACGAAGACGAGTGGTCAACCAAGATCAATTCACACAATCACTTAATCACATATAAACCAGTCTACAGAAACGCAGATCGGCTCTGATACCAAACTGTAACGCCCCAAAGATTTTTAAAGACAATTCCGGACTTATCCAAAAATCTTGTTTTAAAATTTTGAAACCCTTTATCGATTTATAACACATTTGGCGCTACTCGAGAACTTTCCAAAGTTAAACACATAATCAGCATAAGGGAAACGAGAATATGCAACATAATTCAAGTTCAGCTTTCAACAAATGTAGCAATAGGATTGTCAACATAATCCAAACTGATAATAATAATCCACATGATTCAAACACTTCAACCAATCCCAAAAGCGATAGGGAACAATAACAATGTCTAATAATCATAAATAACAAAGCATGCGGAAGCAATAAAAAAACATTAATAATGTTTGACCACCCACTCGTCTTCAGTCTCGTCATGCCCAACACGTGCTTAACCTGCATCAATGAAGATTAGGTGTTGATGAGCACAAATATACACGAGGTGCTCACCACTATGCATAATATATTGGTAAGAATCCTATACTAGAGTCATATGCAAGTACATGGTCAAAAGACATAACACACCACTCTCCTACTCATCACTATACTAATGTGCACACCTATCATAAGCCACCAGGGGTAAGCCCCAACTCATCAGCGGGAGTACAGTCGAGTCGAGGTTCAACATCAACAGTCACGGCTCATCGACTAGGCTAAAATGAGTCTACCTATCACAAGGTTGGAGATCGCCCACCACTGGGCACCATCTCATGACTCACACATACATTCATAGACACTTAGTATAAGAATCTTACCTCAATTATAACATAGCAAATTTTAGATTAAAACCCACCTGGAAATCGAGGTAGAATATCACACAAAAGCAAGTTCGTAGGTCGAGAGTTCGACTCCTCAAACACCTACTTTTAAGCGAGATAATATATTAATAATCTATCTCACTACTCAAATTTAACATAAAACCTATATTTAATAAAAATTAAGATTTAAGGGTTTTTATAGGATTTTTTGTGGACTTGGAACTCTCTCATTTTAGAAAAATGGGACTCAGAGAATGAAAATTGAAGTTTCGAGACTTAAAATAATTTCTCCCAAATTTTTCTCATTTTGAAAATATTTTTAAAACTGAAATCGGTATTAAAAACATGCTTCCAGTACACAAAACGGGTTCGAAATTCAATTTGAAAAGGGACCACAGGCTGTTGGGCCGCGTTGGGAACAAGTCCACAGACGCAGCGTTGGGCCGGGAAAGACATTGGGCTTGGATCGCGGTTTTGGGCCGCGCATAGGCGCCAGCTGCCCGCCCAAAGGGCGATGCTACGGGCCAGGGCGCGGGCTAGGA